AGATAACGATGTATAAAATGATGAAATCATGGAATTTCCCATTCGTGTCTCTTTAATAAAACTCCGTCGCGGACACGATGCAATTTGCTGTCAAGTTTTAGGGTACATAAGAAAATAGAGGTTATATAATATATATATATCTATTATTGTACGTAAAACACGCAGAAGCAGTACGTTTAAGATTCGAATCGTGCGCATACATAAGAAACACTGTATTATAAAAATATCGTAATAAGAGTGACCGTTTCGCGAATAACAAGTTTTTTTGGAAGAAGACCGATCGATGAAAAAGAAAAGCGGATCTAGGCGAAAGAAAGGGAAAAAAGATAAGATCCGCAAGCAATTGTATATAAATGTGTGAAGCGAAATTCGATCGTGCGAGCCATGGCGAGCGCGTGAAAGAGAATATTTTGTTATGTAAAAAAAAAAAAAACGACTGAGATGAAGCAGAAGAAGAAAGAGAGGTTCATTTTTGGGATACAATATGGCTGCAGCATATTTTCGAACGCACGTTTCGAGTTATCGTCTGATCGATACATATGAATCTTTTTTGCGGCCTCAAGCTTGTAGAGAAGAATAAAGCAATGAAGACGAAGAGGAAGAAGAAGAAGAAGAAGAAGAATGGTAGGAAAGAAGAATGGTGGCAACAAGAAGTAAAATGAACGGCGTCGTTACGCGCAGGAACGAGATTTCTTTATCATTCCAACAGATGGACTTATTAACTTGGTCACTTTCATATTTAAAAAGTAAGAAGAATCATAAAGAAAAGTACATTCCGGTTCACAATAAATCGCCGATTTTTCTCAAAATGGCGTGTACGATTTACCAACAAATCATACGCACCATGGTATATATTATACCAAAGAGGAGAGAGAATCTCGACTGGACGCAACTCCTGTCGAATTTTTATTTCTTCGAACGAATGAAAGTAAAAGATGAAGATCGAGAGAGAGGACCAAGAAGAAGAAACAAGAAAGAAATAAAATCGTGGCAAGGGGATAACGGGAAACTTAACGATTGCGCGATCGACCAGAATAGATAAGGATTATCGATTGGCCACCTTTCGACGCGCATCCCGTTGTTTCCTTGGCGAAACAATCGTCTCGTGTTTGCGCGTCCGACGTGAAAACCAGGGCTATTATTTGTAACGAGGCAACAGAAGAAGAAAACACCAGGATATCACCTACACGAGAGGCAGGTTCTCGTGCAGGTAAAGAAAAGACTCGAAATTGTTTCGATGATATAATAAATAATTAATAATCGTCCACTATGAGGTTCGACAGAGGAACAATTATTTTTTGCCGTTTTTTTCTCCTATCAGAGAAAGAAACATCTCGTGGTTTCATTGCTAGAGCGATGGACCAGCTACGACACAGCGAGATGATTATTGTGAACGGCGATGATGATAATATAATGATTGATCCTCCAGGAAAACTAAGAGAAACTGAAACAGATAGCCAGTAAGTACTTGGAGAACAATATGGCGAAGGAATATATATCCAAGTCGTACCTAAAGCGTAATCATTTATATATCGTAGTTTTGGTACTGTTATTCGAGTATGTATACACGCGTTTTTTTTCGAAGAAAATGTGGTAGACGCGTGACCAATGGAAGAGGAGGAGAAGGAGGAAGTACGAAGAAGATAAAAAAGGAAAAGGTTGTCGACGATAATAAAATGAGAGAGAGAAGAAGAAGAAGAAGAAGAAGCGTAGGTAGCAGCATTATGAAATGGAAGATTAATCACGAGTAAAAGGGGAACTATAATAGTCTTTCAAGATTGATTATTATTGATGAAGAAGAAGCGAGAAAGTGGATTTGAACGAGATTGGAGCGAATGCAAGAGGATTTCTAAAAAACCATCAGAAAAAATGTCTTTTTGAGAACAAAAAGCGCCAAAAAAATCAATGTATACAACCAGTGAAGAGTATGCGTGAGAAACAAAGCGTAGGTAGCAGCATTATGAAATGGAAGGAAGATTAATCACGAGTAAAAGGGGAACTATAATAGTCTTTCAAGATTGATTATTATTGATGAAGAAGAAGCGAGAAAGTGGATTTGAACGAGATTGGAGCGAATGCAAGAGGATTTCTAAAAAACCATCAGAAAAAATGTCTTTTTGAGAACAAAAAGCGCCAAAAAAATCAATGTATACAACCAGTGAAGAGTATGCGTGAGAAACAGTGCGAGTGGAAAGAATGATTGAGGATAAAAGTAAGGAAGTATCAACGCAAGGCAAGTTTACAGAGGACAGTAATGAATGCAGATGATATCAAGAGACAAAGCAAAATGTACACGTGGAATTGAAAGTGTTGGTGTGCAATAGTCGTCGAGGAAGGTCAAGATCAAGCCGAGAAGATCTAAAAACAGAAGAAGAAAAAGAAAAAGAAAAAGATTCTTGAATCCTCTTCCGTCTAGAGACAAGGATTTGATGTGAGGATCTTTTTTGTAGAAAGTTTTGAAGCAGAAGTTTCTGAGGGGATTCGTGAGATAAAAGTCAGAATTGACTTTATTTGAAAAGTATTTCAATGCAGCACAAATACAGGCATACACACTACACACACAGAAGCATACATACATATACATGCATATAGTTCATTCATATACACACATATGTACATAAGAAGAAAATGAAAGAAGCAGAACTAAGGGTTTAACGTCAGAAAAAATGCGCGCTTATGTGAGTCACGTGTGTAAAATTCGAATTGAATGAACACTGGACGCACATTTATTACTACCACCGCTACTATCTGTATATCACGCGGTATATGTTAACGAGAGTAAACGCAAAAGTGCGAGAACCTTCGAGAGAATGAATGTGAAGATACATTGAAACGAACGAGGAAACAAGCTGACAAGTGACGGAACGCCTGAAAATTTTTTCAGTAACCGAAAACCTATATACTGTTTTACCAGACTTCAGAAGACGAATATATACATACACACGTGTATACAAAAACATGCCACGAATTGAAGCTTCTTTGATCTCCATCTATCGTATGAATGGATCTGCCCTTCGAAAGAAAAAAAATCAGAAGAACAGAAATAGAGCAACAAGAGAAAATTTTTAACGTTTCCTGGTATCGTAGACAATCCTGTCTTTTTTTCTACCTATTCTTTTCTTTTCTATTTTTTCCCCTTAATTTCTTTCGCTTTCATCGTCCTTTCCTTTTAATAATGACGAAGAACTACCGGCCGAAAGTGTATGCAGCAAAGAAGCGCTCAGCTTTGTTCTCCAATACTCTTCGACGATAATATTACTAATCCTATTCTAATACCTTACACTATACACACATTGCGCATATCCCGTCCACATTTCCTCTTTAATATTCTTTTTTCTTTAGGGCCCTTTTCAGGGCCCGCAAACGTTTCATTCATGAGGTAACTATTTCTCGGATAAACTAAACATCGACAAACAATCCGTCCTTTTCAGGATGAAAATTTAAGAAAATCCTTTTTAGGAGGAACATTTAAAACCGTTCTTTTCAGAACGAAAATTAAAAACCGTTCTTTTCAGAACGAAAATTAAAAACCGTTCTTTTCAGAACGAAAATTAAAAATCGTTATTTTCAGAACGAAAATTAAAAACCGTTATTTTCAGGAGAAAATGCCATACTTTTCAGGAAAAACCCCTAAAAGTATGGATGAAAACATTTATTAGCAGTTTGTTTTTCATTTTATTGCAATGCTGTTGGATTTTACTTGGATTTATAACTGTGTTGGGTATGTATATCCATTAACATAATGTTTGTAGATTAATTATATTTTAATTATAGCATCCGGTAAAGTATTGTTCAACGTATTTGCATAAATATCGAAGAAGGTCATGGAAGAGATCCGCTATAGAACGTTCAGGAAGTCTAAGTGTGTCACGTATCAATAGAAAAGCGAATAAGTTTTACGATTTCTTTGCTTTCTTCGCCATACATTTCATTATGAAATAAATGTGTTGAAATAATCCTTAAGCGCTTTACTACTTCTAAACAGAGAGTTATATACTTATTTATATGATTCAACTTCTTGGGAAATTAGTCATAAGACGTATCTCTTTACGTGATATGCAATAGAAACGAAATAGTATAAATTCATATCTAAATGTAAGATCTAGCAGTTTTAAATTTGTTACTGTGCATTTCGCTATATCTCGATGACTCACCATAAATTAATCATGACCTGAGCAATTGCAATCTATGAGCACTTAATAGAGATTTCATAATTTAAATTTGTTGTACATATGTAAAATAAAATTTTATAAACAAGACGTCTTAAAAATAAGAAATTTGATTCCGATATAATTTTCAGATACAAATCAAGTTTGTTCTACTTCTCTGTGTGACATTCTTTCTATTTATCTAATTCCTCACTACTATGAAGCTACAAAATGACAAGAATTTCAATGAAACAAGATAGCCCATTGAAGATACAGGCAAGAAGAATTATATTTGTTTGTATTTATTTAGCCGAATTGATGTTTCTTTCTTTGTAGTGAAACGTGATTATTTTTTATTTTCTTTACTTAATTTTTTTATTATAGCATACTCTTTCTCCTATGTCAGATATTTTTAAATCTGATTGTGTATACATACTTTGAACTTACGTACCAAAATGATTCATGTCTTTTATTTTTCCATATGAAAGATACAAATAAGAAGATTTACACGATTACGCACAGTTTGTACTTAGTCGTGTTGAGTTAGGCAGGTTTTGAAAGTTCATGGTACCAGGTAGTTGTGACATCAGATATTTGGATGAATCAGCAAGATAAAAGGTAACGGAACTTAAAAGAAACGTAAATAATTATGAAATAAATTGTCGAGCGAATTCAAGTATTTATTTGGTTGTTATATAGTATTAATAAATATATGTTTATATAATGTGGAAGTATTCATTTATTTACTCCAATTTACAATCGTAAACAATTCAGAGAATTGTTTATTTCCCCATAAATTATCGAAAAATGTTATTATAGCATAAATAGAAAAAGAGTAAATTTATACGAGAATTTAAAAAACTGCATTATATTTGATACACTTTATGATTAAATCTGCAAATTAAAATATTTTAGTTTCGTTGTGTTTTGAATTGCTGCCGTCTTAAATATTAACTCATAATCGGACGCGTGGCATTATTGCTTCTTTCATACATTTTCGCAATAAATTTGTCAAGTTATTTTTACTCAACGAAGTCTAGTTTAAAATACATGTTAAGCTATTTAAATCATAGAATATCTGATGTAGTAATCATATGCTATTAATATCGTGCCTAATTTTGTTGCATGTTATTATATTTATTAGGAAGAGGAAGTCGAAAATAGAACAGTGTATATTGAAAACGTGTGCGTGCGTGACTGCCTTTTATTATAAAAGTAATATATGCTGTTACACAATAAATATATACATGTTTTTATATGGATTACAAGATAATAACATTGATAATACAATGAATACATAAAAAAGCAATTTTATAATGCATATTATTTAATATGTTTACAATAATTGCCTTGGGATTTTCCAAATTTCTATAGTTCCTTGTGAGTCACCAATGGCTACCATATTTCTATAAAACAAGTATTACAAACAATATAATGCAAATTACATATTATTACAAATCATATATTATCGATGCATACTTCAAATTTACACATACATATGTATATGTACTACGAATGCTTACTTTCTTAAATTTACACGTAAGCAGCTAGTGTTTTGCCTATCAGTGGTCTCAAAATTTATATTTGTCACAGATTTTCCACCAGTGACGTTATACAGTCTAATCTCCGAGCCAGCACCATAAGTTGCGAATATGTCTTGATTCCCGAGCATCCATGCTAAACCCACGATTGTATTTTCACAAGAAATCGACCTCAAGTTCGTATGCTAGATTATATAAAGGTTTTAATCTGTTATGGCGTTCAAAGTACAAAAATAAATTCTAACGATAAAATTATTACCTCTTCAAAGTGATATATACGAATTTCTTTGTCAGTGCCAGCGGTGACGAAAAGATTACGTATCGGGGAACATTTAATGCACGTAATACTACCTTCGTGCCTTTCATACTCGTCTACCACAGGATCCATTAGAGTTTCATCATCTAAAATTAAAAATTGATTATTACTTTCATAGAATAAAATAAAGTTTAAGAATTTATTAGAAAAATCCATACCTTCGATAGGAGCAACACGATCTAAGCTACATTTGTATATTCCACCGCATAAGGTACCCACGATAAAAAATATGGGATCTCTGGACGAAAAATCGAAGGCAGTAATACATAATCCGGATTCCATAGCGCGTTCACGTGTGCCACCTGCGCTACGTGGCCTTGAGTTTTCTATTGGATTATATTCTTTGGTTAATTTCAGTCTAAAAACATACAACATATGTGATTATAAATAAATGTTTGTAAAAATTTGTTGATAGTATTAAAATAATTACCGTTTATATTCACGGGCAACTGTAAAATTGGCCATCATCTTGTGGATGAAAATATATCCATCTTTGCTGGAGCTCACAAGCAAGGACACATCATTTATAGTTCTTGCTTTCCAGTACACTTGAGACACACAATCCCCATGGGTACAAATTGTTGTTGGTGCCACTGATACATTGTCTCTTAAGTTCCATACAAGAACATCACCTTGGTATAAATAATATTTACAATTAGTTCTTAGCTTATAAATAACATGTTTTTTCTAGAAATTTTACAATTAAGTAAACTACCATTGAATAAACCAGCAGCTATAATGGATGGTTCAGTTGGATGATAAGCCAACGTTGTTATACAGGCATTTGTTTCCAATATTTTATTTGGATTATCTGTGAAACTACCCTCCTTTGTTTGATTGTACAATTGCATTTTAGATAGATGGTCACACCATGTTTCATGGTAAGGAATACCAAAAGAAACTGCCAATGTTCCTCCTCCAATACTCCAACTCATATCACTTACTTTCATCTAAAAATATTATTAAATAACACAAGGGAATGAAAGAAATTAATAATTATAAAAGACAACAAATGCCTGAGAATCAGATTCAGTGCTATGAATTTTTTGCAGAAGCTGTGTGCTTGTCAGTAAATCTTCATCAATTTTTGGTTCATAATCTTCAAATGCATTGGTTCCATAAGATTCATCTAATGCTTCCAATATACAAGGCGTAACTCTATTTAAAAATTGGGCCAGTCTTTCATAGTTCACTTCTGGCTTCTTCTTCTCTTCGGTTATAGTTTGAGTCTAAACAATGCAAAAATATTAAAATCAAATTTAGCCATATTTTTAAGATATGTTTACAAATACCTCGACAGTTCTTGTTTCGACGGTTTGCACGGGATTCTGATTATAAACAATTTCTGTTGTTTGAACGTTCGTAGATTGATGCGATCTGCCAAATATTAAACAATTAAAACGAATAAAAAAATTTTGATCATATAAATGAAAGAATACGAAATTTTAGGCACGTACTTCGTAGTAGATAATTGTGAGTTGAAACTCACTGCTTCCAGTGAACGATTAGTGAACATTATTATGTATATTGTTAGAAATATTATGTTGTTGCAAAGTTAGTATTTTAAATAGTGTATGAAGTTGTTTATTAAATTACTAAGTATTTTATAAGATCCAAGAGAAAATAAAAACATTCAGTAGAGAGCATACGTGTGAATTTACAAATGTGAATCAGCTGATGGATATCATAGCGCCATCTGAATGCAACTATTACAAATAAAAATTGATGCATAGGCGGTAAAGAAGCAAATTAAAATTGCCGTCTAAGGAACAATTAAAATATTACTAACCAGCTTGTAACATTGTATGTATGTATGTAACATTTTATACATATACATGTGATTTTAGATACATGCGATCAACAATCACGACTGTTTTGGTTCTCTACGTGAATCAACTGCAATACCATAATAATTTCTAAATGCAACATATAAAGATTCAATGTATAGATAGATTACCGTAATTTAAAGATATCTTTTTAAAACCTATGACAAAGCACATCTTTCCTTCTTTCCTTAAACTAAGCGTATTATTATTTTATTGCGGATCGTTATAGTCGGACACTCGAATGTCGCTCATGGTTCGTTCAGAACCTTTCTCTAGTATCAATCTGTAAAAATACCTCAACAGGTAAATACGCATTTCTTCTAAAGGTCTGCGCTTATTCTGGTTCTTTGCAATTGCATTAAGTTGCACTTCGAGACAGTCGAATAAAAATTTGCATGAACGTCCTCCCGTACTGCAACAATATGTTAGTCAAAGAACTGTAGGATAAAAATGTATTATTCATCGCGTATGGTTCCTTTGCATATTTGAAACGAACAAAGCCATACTAGGAGTCTTTTTTATTGAACATACCGGTTTTATCTGCAATAAATACTTCGAAGCTTCGTGCATAAAAGCGGCTTGTGGTAGCACCATCAAAAATGGTAATCGCGCGACAGTCTGTCGCCGCGATTTAGAATAGCATAGATTTATATGAAGTAGTTCACACGTTATCGCCCTTTCTGTCTAGTACCGCTCGTATGTCTGTCCTTGTCGCACAGTGTCGTCCTCTCTGTCTAGCGCCGCTTGTATCTCCGTCCTTGTCGCACGATATTGCGCTCCTTACACAAGAACATTTACCTCCTTGTTCAAACGTAAGCTATGTGTTACCATCTATTTTCACATACTGCAAGTTGATGTTCTTCTGTCTTCAATTGATGGTAGCAATTGATGATTTAGTCATAGACAAGGAGCGCATTTGTGTACGACAAAGACAGATATATGTACCGTGCTGCACAACGAGAACGCTACTGTGCGGCAAGGATAACGATACTGAACAACAGGGACAGATATATATGTTGTATTAGACGAAGAGATCCATACTTGATACGATATTTGATCATACTCGAGTTCGATCAATTGGTTGATGTATTCCGTGAATTTGATCAGGCGCGATCAATTAACAGGGAACGTATTTTCGATATGAAGCGACGGCTAAAACAGAACTGCTATAACGTTGACAGTCAATAAGGTAGGAGTACGCGATGTTGGTAGCGACACGAGCGCGGCTAGTAAAGTACGTATTTGAAACTACGAATTCAATTTTATCGTGTAATAAAATAAGATAAAGTAAATTATTTATATGAGAAATAACATTATATTATTAGTAATAGTTAATCGTTACGGTTCTCATTGTGTTAGCAATGAAATATAGATAAAACTACTACTATTTGTTCATTCGATTCCATAATCTTTACGTTATTTTATCTATTTCTATAATGCGTTGATACATTTATCATCTTTAAGTGAGTACATTGAAGATTACGCGCTTAACAAAATTAAATTTAGAACGATGTAAATATAGAGATACATGTGTTTACGTTTATAGATTATTGAAACTTATACGATATAATCTTTTATTCGTTCATAAAAAATTATAATTTATGATTACGATAAGGTTATCAACGGGAAGTAACTCAAAAGTAGAAATACAGATATTTAAAGATTTTAGAAAGAAGACACACGCAAGCATACGGATATTACGATAGTGTGATGTAGACATCTAAAATGAATAATAAAGACGAGCTCTATAGATATCTTGCTCGTCACGTAGTACGAAAAATTCATGGATGTATATGGAGGCTGTGGTAATTGGGCTCGAGCAAATAAGCAATTACTATGTTTTGGCTTGGCAAATATTATAATAACGGGCTAGAGGGGTTAACCAGGTTATCTGGAATATGATCATCGGTTCAGGCGTTTTAGAGAGCGCCAAAACCGGCACCAGCCTGCTGCTCACTTTTATTTCCTTTTTTAATATAGTTGTTTACTCAAGGGAGCTTCGTTACTACCTCCATCAAAACTATGCAAAACTATATTCTTCGTTAATTTATATGTTTTATCTTGTAATCATAAAATCACCGAGGAAATTAGAAATTTCGTTGTTTTTGTATTAAAATACAGATAAATTAAGAATTTCCATTAATTATTTTTATTTCATTTTATGTAACATCTTTTTCTTATTTTTAATTGTACAATATGCTAACATCGTTTGGCAGGACAAAAGTAAAACATCCTATATATTAATTTCGAATAAATCGGTATTTTCGGAAATGTACCGGAAGTTACGACCGATGTGTTTAATGCGACTTTAATGCCACTTCGGGTTTTCCGCCTATTTTCAGTTTCCTGTCGGCGTTTTCGTTTTATTTACCTTGCGGTGCAATTAGCGGTTTGCCGATTTTCTTTTTGATGGTTAAGCTTATGCATTGCCCTGTGTTTTCGGCATTCTCTAATGTTCCGTGAAATTCTATATCGTTAAATAAGTATACACCTTATTTCCTACTCGTCTTTCACAATTTACTTTTTCAATAATACACGATCTATCCGTGAAACGTTACGTTACACCACATAATAAGTATATATTTTTAAGCACGATATCTTTGAAACCCGTGGAGGAAGGAACTTCGAACGGGTGCTCTTCCACCGAAACTCAAAGGACATTCGCTCGAATAATTTTACTTCCTCCGTCGTATGAATTCGTACGAGTTCCTTCGAGCCTTGTTACACACAAAACTAGGAAAATGAAGTATTGGATCATCTTGGCGATTCCATGTTTCTAACTTCTATGGTTGACTTCGTGATAAATAGCCTGAACTTCGTTCTTGACAAATGAGATCGATATCAGTGCCAACGAAATGTATTGTCCGTGAATGTAATACTTTGGATAAGAGCGTAAACTTGCTGAATACAACAGAGTACGAACATATCGATGGATGGATCAAAGCATGTTTGTTTATAACAAGAAATTTCTAATCGACATATAAAGATTTGGTTTGTAGATTTCTGAAATATTTCCAATTTCGTGATCGTAATTTGTTAATAATTAGATATTGTTTGTATTTAGGGTGAAAAAGATTTCTCTCGCTGGCCAACTGGTCCCAGGTGTGTACACTGGGAGCGTGGCAGACGCGTGCTTCTCCCCTCTTTAACCTCAGTCGAACGCAGTTGCTTTTACATGCTTCTTCATTCTTTCTATGTACGTATATATTAATATATGTACTATAAAATAATTTAAAATAAATATCACACAGCCTGGGAAATTTCATCTATATTTCAAGAGGATATGAAATCTTTGTAGAAGAAACAGATCCTGAAAGTTATCTGAGATACGAAAACGCTTATTTCACAGACAGATAGGTTAATATCGTTTTCCTGTATATTATTTTTCTATTATATAGTTTAGCCTTTAGATATTTATCTTTTAGATGCAACGTGGATGGAACAAATCAAATTAAAGTACGAAGGAAAAATAGCGTATACTTAGTATCTATTAAACACAGATAAACATAGATCTTTACGATCCAAGTCGTTTTAAGGTTAAATAGAAACGCATAAATCATGGAAGAGACAAAAGGAGAAGAAATTTACACCTTTATAATGCAAATTAATAGCTCTTCCAAACATTGCTATCGAAAAGAATAATGAGCCTTGTTTTAGACAATTAAGAGAAGAAGAACGTAGAAACTGGCCACGTAAGATTTGCATTTGAGAAAGGTGGTAATTATTTGCAACGGAATAACGCAATTATCAAATTGACCCTCGCACCCTCACATAATTACTCGCGACTTCAGGATTTAAGTGGATAATCATTGGGAATTGGCGAACTGTTCGTTGAACGTTGAAATTTGGCAAGCATCAGAATGTGGGGCGCCAGGTCGTCAATGCGTACCATGTAATTTATGTTGAATGTATGTATACATCTCACGTGGATACTGGCGGTAGATTTTAACGCTGAATTTCGAATTTATTTTGCGTGAATTTTTCACGATAATCTGTTTCCGCATAAAAATTTCAACCTATCGTAATACGATAATCGTGTCGTGCTTCAATTGCGAAAAGAACAATCGTGTTCCTAGTTAAATTTCTTTATGTTAGTCAAAGAATTAGATTCGTTTAATTTCCTTTATATTTACACGGAAATCTTCTAACGTGTGTATTTTCTACAGGTATCCCTTGCTTTCAAATCTTTACGTATATTTTAATTACACCTATACGTAATTTCAAGACACGTGCACATTTTTCACTTTCAAGATGTTATTTAATATTAATTGGTCGTTATTAAAACAAAGTATCGGAGATTAAGGTTACCGATGAGCGAAAATTGACAGAGTTGGTGTAGTGGCAGCAACCTAACAGTAGGAGGAAAATGAAATTTTACTCTCAATCAGAGAGCCACTCGATCACACAGGAGGGTGCCATATTGTTACGTTCTAACCATTCTCTTCTTCTTCTTTATTTCTTTCTTCTTCCATAATCTTTTCCTCTGGTTTGGATCAACTGTTGTTTTACGAGGACTCTTTAGCCTCGGCAGACGGCCCATTGTATCGCTTATTTCAATGCGCGGATTGTTTTCAAAAAGAAAGCACGATTGTTTCATCTTTTTCTTTTTTTTTTTAGCTTCCTCCTCTTTGATGTTCTGCTATTTACCGATAGTAGCGTATCGAATGTACGGCTATTAAGAATCTATGAAATTGTTAATGATAGTTTTAGAAAGGAAATGCACGAAATCTTAACTTTCAGCGAGAATCGTAAGACACCTTGTTCTTTAACATCTTGCGAGACAGTTGCGCGATGGTGATTTCTGAAATTTTTTCAATTTCTGCTGTTTGTCGTTTACGTTTCGAGAAATTCTTCAACGAAACGATGGTACAAATCGTTTTTGCCTGTCGTAATACGAATCACTGGAATGGTTCGGGCCACCATGATTTCGAAGCTATTTTCTACGTGGGTCGTTCGAGGCTTCTGGAAATCAATTTTTCCCCTCTGGCGCCAATTAACCAGAATTTTCTCAACTTCGACGTAGGTCCTTTGGTGCATGGTAGTTTCAAACTTTAACTTTGGGAAAGTTAATCGCTCCTTCCGTTTTTCTTTTGCCTCGCTTCAGTTCAGCCAATATAATTTGTCGAATTCATTCTCATGTCCACGTGATCTATCATCGTATCAAGGACGAAAAAACGCATTAAAACAATGCATTTTCTCTTTGGTTATTTCGTACTTGAAATATTTTTGAAATAAATGCTTCGTTTACTTTTATTTTTCATATTATCTTTTATTTTCCAAAGTCTGCTTGAATAGATATAGCAGAGTAATGATATCATAAATCTTAATGAAGCAAAGTTATTAGTAGACACATTCGTAGAAGCATCGTGAATTTATCTGAAGTTTCTAATTTGGCCTTCCATTCAATACGATGGGAAGAATATAATCGGCTTATATACATTTAGTTGAATAAATCCAGGAAAATGTGCCTACTATCTTTTTCTCCTTCTACCTATTTATCTCCTTTTGAACAAATTGATGCACAGTCGTCGCGACGAGACGAAAGTTGCACAAAAGCTTAAATCACGATAGACCGTGGATACCGGCTAGTTAGGAGAGTTTTGATGAATCCTAATCTTGTGAAATATATGCGTGAATAACGAGCCACGACGGCCATGGTGCGTTTGAATTAAAACATATTATCCTTGTCTATCCTACCGACTAATATCTACTAAATGGCGACTAATACCAATCCTATTCATACGGATGATATGCTTCAATGTGACGTTTACTTTTATATACTAGAATGTCATAATCTGACGCCATCCACGCAGCTTCATCATCTTTTAACATATTTAGTATCAGACAGTTAACGTTTAACAGATCAGAGACTCGAGCGAAATCTTTGTAAAACGGAAGAATTCCTTTCTTTTTCCAATTCGATTATTCCTTCCATGCTCCGTTTAACGTTAACTAATTAGAATATAATTGGAATATTTATATAACTTGACTTAATTTAATTTAACTTAATTTATATAACTTAAATTCGATCGTAGTATATGATACGGTAAAAGATAAAAAAGCAAAAGTGTTGGTAGTTCGGTTTCAGTCGAAAGTCGTGGGAACCGTTTTGATAGAATAGGAGAACGGACGACGTAGGAAGGTAGGAGAAGGAAACGAAGAATCTTGGTGGAAGATACAAAAGGGAAAAGAGAAGAAAGGGAAGGAAGGTAAAGCCGAGCAAAGTTTGAACGATGGGATGAGATCGTTGGTTCTGATTCCAAGCAAAAATTCGTGATACAATGCGAGCGTTTTCATTCCAAATAACGTAAATTCAATGTATATCCTGTTTTATTTACGAACTTCGATTAACGACATATCGTTGTATTTAACTACTTGCTCTCTACAACCTGCTTACTCGCAACGTTAAATAAAATTATAATTGCAATAAAATTACAGTTGTTTATTCGGAAAAGCATAGAAATTTCAAATAATAATCATAAAATTGTACGATTATAACGTTATAACAGAATTCCTGTCCAACTTACTAAATATTACGATATAATTTTAGATCGCGTCAAATTATAAATATTTTTCTATCAACGTTCACTCTCTCTCTCTCTCTCACTTTCATAGTTATTTTCATTACTCGTAGATACATCGCTTGTCCAGATACTTTTACTTGTTGCATTTTAAATACAGGAAACCGCTTATGCAACGATCGCAATGTTCAAGAAACGACGAATACCGTGTACGTCTTTAGATCTGTTGTGTTCTCGTCATCAGCAAGACCTTTCGATGCGCGATAATTGGAGTCCCGAGAGGAAAGTATTCTTTCTCGTTCCTTGTCGGCTGTAGTTGTTCGTAGTAATTTAGCAGGTAGCGGGACCGCACGTTTCTACGTGGCCATGTTCACCCTCTGTCCTCGGCTCTCTCTTGGACGCCCTCCAACACCCTTTCTACCCATTCCGCGTGTATTTAAAAGCGTTTAAGGGTGCCCTCCAATCTCAAGTGCTCTTCGCCGGATACACAATGGTTCTTGCGTATTATTTGTTGGTGAAATAACATGCTGTCAGTTATGGGGGATATGCTAAATATATAGGGTACGGCTAGAAATTCGAAGGAGAATCGATCGAACTCGTCCTGGTGCTCGAGTGTTGTGCTTCGAGTCACGTTGAACCGGCGCGTTCACGTTTCAGAAGATTTTTATATCGAACGATTCTTTCAAGAGAATCCGCATCAACATGGCTATGGTTGCATTTCGGGCACACGTATTCATGGATCACAGATTCGAACTTTTCTCTTCCTCTTCGTCTTTATTCTTAAGTTGTCAATTCGCATCGTCGAGAAGATACGGAAGATTCTGTCGATCTTCCGATTTCTTTATTTTCTTTCCCGGTATTTAACGATAAAATGAATTCGAAGTAGCAAGGTAAGAGTTTTTCTCTTGGTAAAAGGAATTGGATTTATTTTTATTTTAATGACTATACGTGTTCTTCTATTTTAGCGATTTGCAATTTATTCATTTGTATACTTTTGCTGCACAGGCTATGACAGATACGTATATGGACGTCTAAACGGCTGATCAAACGCCGATCAAGAATTTCGGAGTTATAAATTTACTCATGCTCAAGGTTAATCAGTCTTCCGAAAACAAACAGTTCCGCCTCTTCGTTAATTCGTGCATGCTCTCGAAACGATAATCAAATAACGCCGAATCGATCGGACACAGGATACACGTAATTAAAGAGTATGTAATTATGGACTTTATCGAAGACGAGCGGTATTAAGTTATTAGTTATTAATTGCTTTATTAGATTAAGCGACCGAAGATGCGTCGAGAGGCGGAGAATCGGTGGTATAAATTCGCCGTAATCGTTTCCTTCCTCCGCCTTTAAATCGATTAATAGTACAAATAGAAACGATAAATCATATTTTAGTAGAATACCAATTAATTCCTATAGATTGAAATAAACTTTACTATAACAAAAAAAAATATATATATATGTATATATATAATAATTTAAGTTTACAACTGATAAGCTCAACTAAATAATTTTTATTTTGAGAATTTTTACGACGAGTTTAGTTTTGTAAAATATTAATTCAGTAAAAAATCCGCATAACTAAGTTCACTCGAGCAAGCTTTTGAATTACGAATGACTTAATCTTTAATACTTTAACTGACAGCCAAAATATACGCAGTTAGTTACTATTACCAACCTTTTTCTTGTTTTATACAATTTCCGTACGCAATAAGAGGGAACCGTATCTTGTTAAAGTCCAATCCAGTTAACATTACGGCCTGGTCTGCTATCATCAGATTACAATGTAAAGATACTAAAGGTGGTAAAACGCTGACAGGGTCACGAAACGTGTATTGTGAATTCCTTTAGAGTCGTAACGAGTTGCAAGCGTGGGCGGACGTAAGTGCGAGACACGTTTCACCTTCTACTCTGACGGGATAATTTTCTCTTCTGGCTTATCCCTTCTTCACCGTCCATATCATTCGTTCATCCTTCCAGAGGCATCGTATAAAAGTAGGTAGTCTGATTGCCTAAACCGACGTTTTATTTTTACTACAACTCCGATTCGTTTCTCTCGGCGATAATAACGATCGAACGCCGATTATGTGCGTGAACAATTATCGATCGCGTTTCTGTCTATCGGCTAGCGTCGAATTGTATCGAATCTTTCACAGAATTCTTCCGCTCCCTTTCAATATCTTCGAAACGCGCATTTATTTTAGAAATCATAAATGTAAGTAAGATCGTCGAATAAACGTTACGTCTCTGTTGTTACCAACACGAAAATGTTATTTGATTTGTGGCCGAGAAAGAGTCGTTCGTCTGTAATAAGCGTACCGCCTCTTCCTCAATATATTTGTCTTGATGGCTCAATGCGCACGTGACCGCTCGAGAGCGGCATGACTTTACAATACGACCCTCGAAACGGTTATAGCTGTACCAGCGATGAGAACGTAAAAGGCTGTAAAAACATTCTGGTAACCGGTAGAATAATTCGAAAAGCAGAATGAACGACGATCGCGTACAATTAAGCGTCCCGTTTTACTTCGTTATACGCCTCTTGTCCGCCAACGTTGGCTTTCAGGTGCAACAAGTAAACGCTTTCGATGTAGACAAAATTCAGGAAACAACTTTCAGTTCTGTACTTTTCTTTCATTTTATAGGAAAAAGAAGTTGCGAAAGGGAGACTATTTTTTTTCTTTTTTCTCTCCTATGATTTCACTTTTCTTTTCCTTTTTTCTTTTCTTTTCCTTCGATAAAAAGCGCATAACTGGTATCAGATACTTGCGGGACGCTTGCGAGGCGTGTAATTCTTTCGTGTTACACGCAGACGATTTCACCGCAGTCATCCGCTCCTCGTCCGTGTGTCGTTTTAGTAAGTAGCGGTAAGCTTGTCGGTCCGAGATGGTCCGAAGATAGGATCAAAGGAGGTGAGAGGACCACCCGGTCTATTTAGAATATGAAGAACCATGACATTGGTGTCAGATGTCTCATCGAGAATGTTGACACCTGTAAGCGCTGTTGGAACATTGGAATCAGTGGCAGGTTGTGCGTTAATTTTAAAGCACCATGGTAATAGCAACTGGAACACGACTGTTGATAAAATACGTTCGATATTTACCACTTTCCACATTTACGATTTTTCCACTTTTTCGTTCAATCGCGTTCAATTATATTTTACGACAATTTTTATCTTATGAATTTATTACAATTATTTACAAACAATTTAACAAAAAAATAACGGAGCCAGAAATTCTTAATGGTTCAAAAAGTGGTTCTAGATACAGATAAGACATCGTTAAAAATTAGTGGAAATCGTTATCGTCTCCAGAAATTAATCAGTGAGAAAGATCGTTCGAAATGGTGTTACAAATAAATCGCCCTATTAGAATCGCGTGGAACTTCGTACGAAGACGATAACGATCGCTAAGAGCTTTCGAGGCTATGCTTTCCGTGAATAAAGCAGAAACTTACTAATGAAGAAGGAGCAAAAGTACAACTAAGGCGAAGCTTGGTAAATCTTATCGCGAACCGTCATCCTCTCATTGACTATGCATTCCCGGAGGAAAGCCGTGAATTTTGCCTCGGTATGTTTCAGCTAACTGGAATATCTCACTAGAAGAGGTAGGTGCCACTAAATTTCCTTAAACCTTTTTTCCTCTTTTTTTCAAGATTCGGTTCTGATGCCGTTGACAATCTGATCGTACCTATTCCCACGAGAAAAACAGAGATAAAAGTAGAAAAAATGGAAGAAAAAAGAACGCGCGTAGTGCGGTAGAAGAAAAAGGAAAGGTAGAAGCTTGTAATCGTTTGCCGATCTTCGCAGTGTTGTCTCAGAAATGCTCTTCGCACCTATTTTAACGCGCATGTATTATCGAGAGATTGGATCAGCAGGTATTTATTTTTCGAACAAAAACTTCCAACGACAGTTCCCGGTTTCTCGTCTAGCATTTTTTCACTGATTCGCATCTCGAGTTATTTGTCGTGTAGGAAAAAAACGTGTTGGAAACGAAACGTATAATGAATTGGCGGCAGGTTGGTTTTAATCGGAAATTACACCGGTTTTTGTTCGATCTGTTACAGGTTACCGAATATTGAACGAATCAAATTACGAGTCGATATGATAAACACCAGATACATTTGCCCGATACATTTTTCATCTAAATTCGTTCTAATAAATTTGACGAACGTTTAAAAAGAACTTTTGTTCGATCGAAAGATCCATACCGCGCAGCGCACTTGTTCAAAGTCTTACGGATATTTGTTTCCGGTATATAAATTATAATACTAAATCGATATAAGGTAAGAACGGAAATTTAAGCAGTTCTCACGAATTAACGAGTAATTCACGATAACGTCTGACGAGACTATCCAAAAACAGCGCCGCCCACATCCGGAGGAGGCATATACTGTTAGTGATGGTGGTGCGATCAGGTTGATCAGTGATCGGTGTAACGCGTCCGTCGGCTTTACCTACTTAACTCGCATTTATCCAGAGTGATCTGAACCTTTATCGTAAATTGGGTCGTCCTTATAAATTCTGTCCGACTTTATAATTTTCGGATAAATATGACTTATGATCGAACAGCGTGCGAACTGGCACATGCACAATGCGAACGAAAAGAGTAGAAAATTATACTTAATAAAATTACATACTCTCGTACAGTTTGTAATATCTAATGCTTGTAACGTATTATTCGATATGCATTAGGCTTGCGTAACATTAACATCATCGTGTATATTATGCACGAATATCTCGCGTATCGCGTTTCAATTACTACGTAATACCTGTAGTCTTATTTTTTATTCACATATTTTTACGTTCGTTTAGGTTTATTTTATTTATCCTTTTCAGGTTCTCGATACATCGAAATCGAATCGAACCGCTTTTGATCTTCGAATTAACGTGGTGGACGGACGAATGATAGCGTGATTTGGCATAATCACGAGCATTAGTAGTGAAAATATAGTTGCACCTATTACGAGGATTTGCAGGTAAAGGGTAGTGAGAAGGTGGGCCAACAGGGC